ATTGTCAAAATAGTTATTTAAGTTCTCATTGAACATGCTTAAAAATGTTGTGCCTACTAGATCCAAACTCACTTTCTATTGCTAAAGGTGTTTATAGCCATAGGTTAGAAGAAGAAGAAGAAGAAAAGTGAAATAAAAGTGGGTGGTAATGTCTATTGTCCAACCCTAATTTAGTATTTAAAAGATATTTCAAATGTACAAGAAAGGACAAAACTACCCCCATTAGTAGGCAGTTAGCAAGAAATAAGTTATATAACATAAGCCTAGGCCCTTTAAGCAATACATGAAAAGAACATTACAACCCAACCTATATACTTTATATCCCACAACAATCCCCCTTAAGTTGAGCATAGACACCTATCATGTGCAACTTACACAACAACGCCTTAAATTGTTGAAAACATTGGTAATTGTTTCCTTGAGGCTATGTAAAGAATACATAGATCTCCAAATTCAAGTTTTTCTCTAATAAAATGTCTATCGATTTCTTTATGTTTAGTCCTATCGCGCTGAATTGGATTGCTAGAAATATTGATAGTTACTTGATTTTCATAATAAATCTTCATGGGACCAGAAATTTCCATTCCGAACTCCTTCAACAAGATCCAAATCCACAATAGTTCATCCACTCCATGTACTGGCTCTATGTTCTTCTACAACACTTGATCTAGCCACTCCATGTGCCCAATAGTAAATCTCTTATCTCCTGTAGATCTTGGCCAATCAGCATTGAAGTATGCCTCACATTCTATTATATCATATTTCTTAAACAATAAATCATTTTCTTGGGTAGGTCTTTAGGTATCTAAGAATTCTTTCAACAACTTTCATGTGTAAAACTCTAGGAGCATGAATAAATTGACTCACTATATGCACAATATATATGCAATAAATACCTTGTCTAGTGAGGGGTAGGTAAAGAAGCTTTTCCACTAGTCATTGACATCTCTCCTTGTCATGATATAGCTCCTCATCCCCCTCTCTTAACCCATGGTTTCATTCAATATATAGGAGTATTAGTGGATCTACTCCCATGCTTCCTAGTTGTTTCTTTCACAAAATCCAAGGCATACTTCCTCTGAAATTTATAAATTCCCTCCTTGGATTCTGTTTCTTTGATTTCAAGGAAATATCCTAGAGAATCCAAGTTCTTAATTTGCAATTATAAGGCTAAGAAGCATTTCAACATTTGAACCTCATCTACATCATTTCTAGCCACCACCATTTTATCAACATATATAACTAATGTAATAAGTCTCTCATTTATCCTCTTATAAAGTAAGGTGTGATTACCACTAATTTGTATCCCATACTCTACATTGTCATACATAGCCTCTTAAGCCAAGATCTAAGAAATGATTTTAGATTATACAAAGCCCTCTTTAATCTACATACTACGGATAGAAACACTTGTAAATTTCTTCCTGGTAATTTCCATTCAATAATGCATTTTTGACATCAAGCTAATGCAATTCCCAAGAGTAGTTAGCTACCAAGGATAGAAGCACCTATATAGTATTCTCACAACTAGAGAAAATGTTTCCTTGTAATCTATGCCCTCCTTTTGTGTGAACTTTGCAACTAGCCTTTATATCTCTCAACCGAGCCATCAACTTTAAAATTTATAGTAGACACCCACTTCACCGTATTATGTCCTTCCCATTTAGTAGATCCACTAAATCCCATGTATTGGCCTTTTAATAAAACCCTCGCTTCCTTATTCATTGCTTTTCTCCATTTAGGACCAGAAATAGCTTCAAATTACTTGGAAAGAGTATCAATTAAAGATAAAATAAACATAAAGGAGTTATAAGCAAAGGATAAGTGAGAATAAGAGACAAACCATGAAATAAGGTTAATAACACATGAACAAATATATTTATGTAAAGAAATGGGAGCATCCAAATATAAAATAGAAAAAGTACCTTAGCCATGTGTGGTGGCAACTAAAGTTATAGGAGCAACCTCCTAAGGCACATCAAGACTCGATAAACCAAGAGAAGAAGGAAAAGCTAGAGTAGGTGTTCCATTAGGAGTAAGGGTTTCCTCAAGCTCAAGCAACAACACAAGGAACTAACCTCTAAGGAAACCTTTTCCATCCACTAGTCTCCCCTTGAAGGGAATTTCGGCAAGGTTCAAAGAAAGATTGTGAATCAAATAAGGTGACATCCTTGGTAATGAACCTTCTTTTAGTATAGAGATCAAGACCTTTGCAACCTTTTTTAGTAGGAGAGTAACTGAGAAATACCTCCTACATAGCCTTATGATCCAACCTTGATCTTTCAAAATCCTTGACATAAATAAAACATACATAATCAAAAACTCTAGGAGGTAGAAATTTTAAGCAAGTTAAGATGACGAATAGAAATAAAAGTATTCATGTCCAACATCCTGAATGACATCTCGTTAATTGGATGAGATGCTGTGGGAATTACATAAGACCATTATTTCTTTGAAACTTTGTGCAAAAATAATAGTGCTAGAGTTATTTAATATAAATGGTGGTTCTTCTCTTTAGTAACTCCATTCTATTATGGAGTATAGGCATAGGAAGATTGATATAGAGTGCCTTCATCCTCAAGGAGTATATTTATAGAATGTTTAAAGTATTCAACAACAATGTCTAAATAAAACTGTTTAATCTTCTTCCCAAGTTGGGTTTCCACCATCTTATAGCAAACCATAGAGATTATTGGAACTTCACTACAATCTTTCATCAAATAAATCCTTATGAATCTTGGGAAATGATCAATAAACATAATAAAGTATTGATAACCATCCATAAAGATAATAGGTGAGAGATGCTACACATCAAAATGAACATGATCAAAAAATGAAGTGACTTTATTCATAGAACTTGGATAATTTGTTTTACAATGGTTTGACAACTGACATACTTCACAAAAAAAAAAGACTCTTAATAGACACATTTTCAAACAACCCAAGTAACAAAGTTTTCAATAAAGGAAAAGACAAATGCCCTAATCTATCATGTCAAAGATAGACCTTAGTAACTAACTCCTTGCTATTTTCTTGAAAAGCTATCTTCATGTCTTCATTGAGGTAGTAGACTCATAACTTGATGACCACTGCCAATCAATTGCCACGTCACTTAGTCCTAGAGAACATAATGAATAGGAAAAAAGTCATACTATAATTCAAATTCTTAGTTAGAAATAGAAACCAAATTAGTAGTGAAATTAAGAACATGCAACATTGATTTAAGAGAGAGTTATGACCAAACCTAGGGTTTTAGAAAAGTAGTTGTCAAAAATAAGAAAATAAAGAAGGAAGATGAATAGGAAAAAGGAGAGGTGAAACGAACAACTTAAAGAACAAATTAAAGTGTTCTTATACAAAGGTTTTTAGCTATATGTAGGTTGAGAAGAATTAGTAGTAGTAGTAGTAGTAGAAGAAGAAGAAGAAGAAGAAGAGAAGTCAAATAGAAAAGGGTGGAAATGTTATTGCCTAGGCATAACTTAGTATGCAAAACAAATTTCAAATATATAGGAAAGAACTACCTCCCATTAATAGATAGTAAAAAGTGTTGGTACTTTTTTTGGGTTTTGTGTGATTCAAATTAAATGCACATTGCTTTCTATTTTCTTTTCGTTTTGTTTGTTGGTGGAGTGTCTTGAGTCCCACATGGACTGGGAAGAGAAATCCCTTTGGTTTATTTATTGTTTTGTACACTTGGTTTATGTCTTAAGGGACTTCTAGAGAGTGCATTTGGATCAAGCGCATGCGTTAAAATTGGTTCACACACGTGCATCGATGCCCGTCGCACTATGTCGTGCTGTGTTGTGCCATGCACATGGGTCCAAGGATCCTATTTCTTCTTATCTTTATTTATTTTTAAGGTGTTAAACTTTTTAATTCTTCAGAGTCCACTTTCTATAATTCCTTTTGTAACTATACACTCTCCTAATTGTGGGAGAACTCCCATGTTTTGTGGAGATGTTTTGTTTTTGGTAAGCATTTTTAAGGCATTACAACTTTGCATCTTGCAACTTGCTTTTTCTCTTGGAGTTTTACACTTTCCTACATTGTTTTTTCTCACTATTGAATCATATTGGACATACATAACACATTAGCTTGTTACTTTAGGTTGTGAATGCACACAACCCCAAGGCTAAGAGTTGTATCCTAGGAACCAACTACTAGAAACCTTTTACACTGACAGAAATACTCTAAGAGACGGTGAAATCGGTTTTAAGGAGAGAAAACACTTGAGACAACTTAGTTGTTTTTGATAAGTTTACACCCCCACTGACAGAAATATTCACATGTCTTATGCAACATTTGGTCAGCCTTTTCATTTCTTTTGGTTTTTTAAATAAAATAATCAAAAAGTGGGGTTTCTTTTTGGGGAATGGGGTCATTGAATCCTATCATCACCGCCCACTTCTTTAATCTTCATCGCCTTGCTAAGTTTGATTGATCCATGTAAAATAATTATGTTTTCTATGTATATCAGAGTGAATATACCACGTGTCTTTGGTCGGTGGGCCTCGATCGATCTGGGCCATCGGATCATGTACATAAATGGAGAGCAACAGACCAATAACCGGTCACCTAACTGGTTTCATTTAACCCTAAAACTATTTTTTGGCCAAAAACCATTGATTTGGTCTGCAAATTACTAAGCCGAGTGATTGAACCATCAAACTTTTTGACTCAAGAATGGTTTTTATCTGTTATTTGTGTTTTTTATTTTTTTTTATTTTTCATCTGAGCAAGTTATCTGTTCGGACCTGATAATCAAACCATTTAACCCAAAATCAGACCCATAGAAAGCTATTGTAAGAGCTATTGGGAAAACCAAAAACCAAAAAACCCAATCCTAACCCTATCGACACTATGATCATTACTTGTAGTTTGACGAGATGACTTAGTCCGACATTCAAGCTGTCCGCCAACAGGGTATATATTATAATAATATTAAATATAATATTTAATGGCATAGGCCACTTGGCCAAATGCCCGGTCCGGGCCTGGGGTATAGCTATTATCATTTGGTCCCAAACCCAGCCTAGCCCGGCCCATGATCACCCCCTCAGTACTTCGTTGTTCTCAGTTCACGTACTTGTGAGAGTAGGAACCCAGAAACCTCAAAGCTGAAACCCTAACTCCAGTCTACTCGTCTCCTTTGATTTTACCTTTCACATCTCATCGCATTCCTCTTTCTCATCTCCATTTGTATTCGGTAAGAGTCCGTTGCTACTGTAAGCCAGAAATGTGAAGATGAAATCTATTTTTCACAATCCAAGAATGCTGCTGCCAACGGCCTAACACCGAAGTAGCCTATAGCGGTGTAGCCAAGTAAGTTTATTTTGAACTTTGAAGCCCATGGAATGATGGAAACCTGATTGAGTTCCCTCATACGGAGCCAATTTTACCAATGCTGCTCATTTTTTCCTGAAAGAGATTTTGTTCACTTCACTGCCCAATAGTTGATTGAATTAGTTTTCATTTGGTCAGTTAAAAAATTAGTTTTCGTTTTTTTTTTTTTTTTGTATGAGAATGAATTAGTTCTGTTTCAAGTTTTGACAAAATCTCCATAGGTACATTTCCACAACAATTGGATTGTAATGGGATATCTGACAATGTTAACAAATCGTATTCCAATCTCAATTTGGAAAATCCTTCGAATTCTTATCCAATAGAATCGGATATACCTCAATTGAAATTTGATTCTATCCGTCTAAGGGCTACTAAAGAACTTAACAGTGAACACTGATGCATCATCCGATATGTTACAGGAAGGAGGGTGAGGCTCACCCAAAAGAAGAAGCTGGAAGACCCATTCCGCGCTTGTTCGAGCTCCTTAGTCTGCAACCACTCTAAATCCACTCTAATTAAGAGGAAGCAACCTCAACTGTTCTAGAATCAAGGTATCATTATCCAATCCAATGTTAATTCTCTCTGAGATATTACCCCTTTCTTCTATTTGTCTCACTCCATCTCACCCTTCATTTTAAATTTAGAGCCCAAGAAGATTTTTCTGTTGGCGACCTTCAATAGACTCCTCGTCTTCCCCCGGATCAACCATGGGAGAAGTTGGAGCTCAAATATTCGAAGCTTAGTTAATGTGGTTGTTGCTGAGATCCATCCCGCTTGGGCGAAAGAAGAGAATGCTCAAGATCAGCCCTTTTTTCTTTCAAAGGGGGTTAGACAGTTTCTCGACAGTGTCGATAGGGTTAGGATTGGGGTTTCTAGTGCATCAGTAGTAGGAACAAATGATGATGTAAGCACGGAGACTTGTAAATCCTATGCACCACTAAACTGCAAAAAAAAAACATTTTGGTGCTAGAGTTACTGAGGTTGTTTGGAAGACCTCAAAAGTTGGCCATGTTCGAAATGCAATCCTTGCCAAGCCAAAAATTGGTGCCAAACCTGTTCCTTCCCATCCAGCTGAATATAACAGGTTGATGAACGCCTTCAGTCGGGCTGGTAATGTCAATGAAGTTCTTTGACTCTTGCGTGATATGAAAGAAGCACAATGCCATCCCAATGTTCTATGCCATAACACTGTTCTTAATAACTCTGCATTTTGATGCCTTAAGGGCATCAATTCAGGGGTATTTTCTGCCTTAGAATAGTCAAGATGTGTCTTTTTCCTAGTTAAATGCAATGCTTTGGCCTCTAAGGGTCTCTGTGCAAATTCTAGGGAAAATTGTAAAGTTTTCATGGCTGAAATGCAGATTTTGGGAAGCTGGTGTGAAGTCCAACTGAGAAATGCAGTGTTTTTGTAAAGAACTGAAAGCAGGAGGGTGCCTCCTAGCTACTAAACCCAGTTTGGCGCCCCTCCTACTGTATTAGCATGCTCCCCACGCCTTAGCAAACCCTAAGGTGCCTTTTAACCCATTCTTTTCACTCTTAACAAACCCTAGCCACCCCTAACTGCTAAATCCTCACCTTCCATCCCTTCTAATCTCCACCATCCATTGTAGGATACTCTCTTTTTAGCACTCTAACCCTAAGAGCCACCTATTCTACTAATTCTCACCATTCATCTCCCCACCATTAAATCTTAGCCACTCCCCCCATCTTATATCTCAGTCGTTCAATCTACGGCACCTCATATTCTTTTAATCTTAACCTTTCAACCCTAGATGTTCTAATCTACACCCTCCATTTCTGGGCGCCCAAATCTCAGCCTACATAATATTGAGTGCCCTCTCCTTCCATCTTCAGCCATAGGATCACCCCAAAACCATCTTAGCCATCCATTAGAAACCCTAGGGCATCCCTAACTTTGTTAAATCCCAGCTGCCGCCCCCCCATCTTTCTTTCTATTTCCAGTTGTGTCCACCATTCTCTATAAAAAGGGTCTCAGGGGCTTTATCGAAGGGGTTGGTCAATTCATCCAGTTACAAGGCTAAGGTTTCTTGAGGAGTTCAAGGGTTGTAGAAGGGGAGGATGCCCAATTCTTGTTAGGAGGGATTTTTGCAAGTTGCTCAACCATTCTGCAACTACCGCCACTAGATCTAATCAACCATTCTTTTCTTTTCTTCTATTTTTATTTCTGCAATCTTTTAGATTTAATTATTGTTCATTTCTCTGTTTTGAAGATCTGAATTCGTTCGGTTCAAGGCTAAGGTGTCTCGAGGGGTTCGAGGGTTGTAGAAAGGACGGACGCCTGGTTCTTGTCAGAAGGGGTTCCTGCAAGTTGTTCAACCATTTTGCAACTACTGCCACCGGATCCGGATTCTAGATCATTTTTTATTTATTTCTTTTATTTCCTTTCTTGATTCCCATACTTTATCAAATTCTGATTTTTATTTATTGTCTTGTTTAAATTCGAAACATTTAATTTCAACAATAATAGATTTTATTTTCGTATTTTCTACCATTCTCGATTGCATTCTCTTGTCCGGATCTAAGTGTATATTAATTTTTCACTTGCTTTCCTATGGATACAACCCGTTCTCACCCATTTACTACGTTAGTATTTGTTTGAGAAATGGTAAAAATTATAAATGTTTAAATTGGTGTTCTGGGGTGTTTAACGACGCGCTTCCGGACACACCAGTTCTCAATTGCCTTGCAGTGGCCAATCGCTTTGATGACATTGATGATGTGTTGGCGGAGATGGACTATGGTGGTATAGTTCCAAATGTATCCACGTTCAACATCTTGGTAAAAGCGTACTCTTGCCATTCTTTTCTGTTTAAGGTGGCTTTTAAGGTCTTAAATAAGATGTCTGAACATGGGTGTAGTCCATGCAAGGTCTATGCAAGAAAGGAGAAATTCAATACACTAAAGATTTGATTGAGACCATGTGGAATGATGGTTTCCCTCCAAATACTGAAACTTACAACATCTTGATTGATGCGCTTTGCAAGTTTGGGAATTTTTGTGAGATTGAGCCAATCTTTGAGGAAAACAAATCAAAGGGGTGGAAGCCAAATGCTTTCAGTTATAATATTTATTTGAATGGTCTTTGTAAAGCAGGTAGAGTCGAGGAAGCTTTTAGAAAATTAGAAAGCATGGTGCATGATGGATTATATCTCACCACTTAGACTCTTAATATCATTCTCAATTGCCTCTGCTATAATTTAAAGGTTTGTGAGGCAAAGAATCTCTTAGACTTGTGCCATGACTTGGGATGGGATGTGAGTTCTGTAAATTATAATACTGTGATGACTGGTTTCTATAAAGTTGGTCAATGGTTAAGCATTTTTCCACTCTTGACTAACATGTTAAAGAAGGGGGTTTCTCCTAACACTAGGACATGTAACATTGTGACTCGCAGTCTCTGCAAAGTTTGAAAGCTGAGGAAAGCAAAACATATGGTTGAGAGCAAATCACATGGGCTTTACAGTGCAAGAAACATAGTTGAAGCTGATTACTTACTTTCTAGAATGACAACCAAAGACAAGATTGATACTGCTATGTCAGCTAATAGCATCTGGATTGGGATGCTCTGTAGAAAAGGACAATATGAAATGACAAGATATCATTTTGACAAGTGTCTCAAGAAGGGTTTCCAACCTAATGTGGTTTCATACTCTATTCTAATTGATGGATATATGAAAAATGGTCAGATAAGAGAAGGATTGCAGCTACTGGATAGAATGCTAGATCAGGGTGTGGTTCCAAATATTGCAGTGTATGATTCAATAATAAGGGCATTCTATAGCCAAGGTTTCTGCCATAGCAGCAAGATATTGCATATTCTGACAACCATTGATAAAATGCTTCAGAAGAGTTAAGCTGGTTATCATAAACCTGGAAAGAATGTCTCTTTGCATTTGGAGGTCCGAGCTCATGACAGTTAGTATTCCTCTTTGCTTTCATTTAGCATACATGTTAGCATTTGCTATACTTTCTATATGATTTTTTTTTATAAAATAGCTTTATAATTTCTGAGTTTGGAAATTGTAGCTGTTACATTTTCGAGTGACTTCATTTTTTCTTACTTTGGGCATTACTTTCTTTCAGGAATTTAGTCTTATACTCAATAGTATTACTTATGTGGCATGATAAGCGGTTTTATATACATGCATCCTTACCATGGTAAGTCCATTCTCACATATTAATTTTATCCACAGTTTCAATGTGTTAAATAGGCATTTGTAAGTGGAAATATGTGAACATTCATTTACAAGTATTGGTAATATGTGAACATTCTTTACAAGTATTTCCTTACATATGAAATATAAGATAAATAGCATGTTCAAGAAGAGGAAATATGTGAACATTCATTTAATTGGTAATATGATGATGCTTCATTTTTTTATCATATGGTGATGCACAAGCTAACTCAACTTTCAAGGTATATTGTTCAAAAAAGAAAAAAATTGAATATCGACATACATTAATTTGGATTGGTCCAATATCCATTTTATTATTGCAAAAGCAAATGGTTTGGATTTCCATAATTTGGACTTTGATTGGATTGAATTTGGATTGGAATTATTGGTTCCTATCAGATTAGATCAGATCCAATCCATTGACAGCCCTAAATGTCATCAAATTAAGCTTCATTCTATTGTAAGAATTTAATTGCTTACCTAAATCTCATAAAGTTATTTAGCTCCAAATATCCAAAATTTACTGCTTTGGCCCTCCTTTTCCTTATAAGAAGATTTGGTGGTCTCACATTCCTCCTAGAAGTGGACAAATATATATAGAACAAAGCATATAAAAGTGGATAAATATATATTTCATAAGAGAAAGGGTGACATCTAGAGAAATGTGCCTACCATATGTTGCATCTAATTTACAACTAGCTGATGTTTTCACAAAAGGAGTTGCAAGAAATAAACTTGAACATGATCTAGGCAAGTTGGGAATGTGTGGCATCTACTTCCAACTCAAGGGAGAATGTTGAGATTCAACAGTTTCTTTTTATTTTCTTGTTTATAATCATTAGTTAGTGTTATTGGGCCCAAGGCCTAGTTGTGTTGTTTTCTCGAGTTGTTTTTATGTTATGAACAGTAGACACCCTATTAAGGGTGTTAGTCTTTGTAATGAGTCTTTTTTATATGTATATAAGATAATGAGAGGGGTAGCCAAATTATTATTGTCTTCTCCCCATATCTTCTTCTCTTCTTACGAAGAACTCTCTCTTTCTCTCTTCTTTTTAATTGTTATCAAATCATATTATTGTTTTTTCTTTTCTAGTATATAAAAGATAAGTTGAAAATCAATTAAACACGGAAATAAAAGAATAAGATCGGATAAAGGTAGGGAATATGAAAATGCACAATTTCTCAAATATTGTGAAGAAAATGGAATAATACATGAAATAACAAATCCGTACACACCTGAATAAAATGAAATAACTGAAAGAAAAAATAAAACAAGGAAATGTTAAATGCAATGTTAAAAAGTTCAAGATTAACTTCCAATATGTAAGGGGAAGCTATTATGTCTGCTTATCATATACTAAATAGAACTCCCTCTAGGAAATCTAAAAAAAAAAGAACCTTACGAATTATGGAGAGTACACACACTTAGTATAAAATATCTAAAAGTGTGGGGGTTTTTATCTAAAGTGGACCTTCCTAAACCTAAGAAGAGGAAACTAGGACCTAAAAGTAGTGATTATGTATTTATTAGGTATGCTAAAAATAGTGCAGCATATAGATTCCTAATTCTACAAACAAAATATAATACATTAGAGTTGAACACTATAGTTGAATCTAAAGATGCAGAATTTTTTTGAGAATATGTTTCCAATGAAATGAAGGAATATAGAAAGGACAAAATAAATTAGGCAAACTAGTGAACAAACTAGTAAGACAAATAAGAGTGTGATGAACAAGAACATAGGAACAAGAGACCTAGAAAGGAAACAAACTTAGAAGATGATTTCGTTACTTATTTGGTGGAGGATAATCCTAAAATGTATCAAGAGGCTACAACATCTATAGTTCATCCTTTTGAAGAGAAGTTATTGATAGTGAGCTAGAGCCAATTATGGCGAACCATACTTGGGAATTGGTAGACCTACCTCTAGGAACTAAAATTATTGGTTATAAGTAGATGTTTAGGAATAAACAAAAACTCAATGGAACAATAGGCAAATTCAAGGCAAAGGGGTATAAATAAAAATGGGGTGTAGATTATTTTGACACCTATTCTATGGTAACAAAAATAACAACCATCAGGGTCCTAATTGCCATAGCTTGTATATATAAATTATTTATACATCAAATGGATGTAATTTCCTCAATGGGGATTTACAAGAAAAAATATATATAGATCGGCCCAGAGGATTTAGATCTCTAGGACAAGAACATAAAGTCTACAAACTAGTTAAGTCCTTATATTTACTTAAACAAGCTCCTAAACAATGGAATGAAAAATTTAGTAGTGCTCTAATAACGAATAGGTTTATAGTAAGTGATATAGATAGTTGTGTATATAGTAATTCATTGAAAATTAGGAGTTATAATATGCTTATATGTAAATGACATGTTAATTTTTTGTATGATTTAGAAGTGATTAAAAAACAAAGCCATTCTTTTCATCTATCTTTGACATGAAAGATATGGGAGAAGTAGATGTAATCCTAAGAATAAGAAATCTGATGGTTGGTGTTGACACAATCTCATTATATTGAAAGAATGTTAGAGAAATTTAATCAATCTGATTATGTGCCTATAATAACACTTTATGATTCTAGTGTTAAATTAAAGAAAAATAAAGGTGATGTTATTTCTCAACACGAGTATGCTAGAATCATAGGTAGTTTGATATTCTTGATGAACTATATATACATGGATATTGTGTTTTTTGTTGGCAAATTAAGTAGATATGCCCATAATCTCGAACATGAGCATTGGAATACTTTAATTATAAAGTTATCATGATGGGTATCTATTACATTTTAATAAATAGCTAATTAACTGTATTAAAAGGTTTGTTGTGATGCAAATTGCATCTCAAGTTTAGATAAGACCAAATCTACTAGTAGTGGAGTCATATCATGAAAGTCCACCAAACAAACTTATATTGCATGGTCAATAATAGAATCTGAATTCATTGCTTTAAAAAAAGCTGGTGTAGAGACTCGATGGCTTCGTAATTTATTGACTGACCTGCCTTGTGGACAAAATCAATCCCTTTTATTTCTTTGTATTGTCACAGACAAACAGCAATTTCTAGAGCCAAAAGTAGTAGCTATAATCGAAAGAGTCAACATATTCAACTAAGACACTACATAGTAAGAAGATTACTAGGTGATGATGTGATCGCACTTGAATTCATGAGGTCAAAGAAAAATTTAGCAAATCCTCTGATAAGGGACCAAGTAGAAAATTAGTCTTAGATACATCAAGGGGGATGAGTTTAAAGCCCATAAATTAAACAAGCAATGTGGTGGCAACCCAACCTCTGTAATTGGAGATCTCATGAAAGAGGTTCAATGGATAATAACAAGTCACTATAAATTGGTATAGCACTACCATAATATGTTTTGATAGCGGCCAACCATATGGTGTAAATAGTACTACTACAATGCAAGGAGGTTGAGTAATTTACTTTTAATGAATTAATAGCCCTTATGGGTGGTGTAGATAGTTGTAATACACACTTGATGAACTAACCTATACGAGTGTAGAGATGGGACTGCCTCTTATGAGAACACAGGCTTTGTTTTCTAGAGCCCTAATGAAAATCCAAGCAAGAGTGCATGGCCAAAATGTACCAAACTATTAGAACCAATTGCTATAGAGGGTGAAATGTGTATTGTAAGTGCATGAATTATAGCCAAGGAATCTGGTTCAAGATTTAGTTTTACCAAATTTTAGTAGTACATCCCTTATATGCACTAGGTGTCGATTCAAGTCTATAAGACATCACCACTAATTTGTTTTCTTCTCAAAGTATGCCTAATCAATGTTGTTTTAATTTGAACCATGTGGAGGATTGTTGATGCTTTCTGTTGGGTTTTGCATGATTCAAATTAAATGTACATTGCTTTCTATTTTCTTTTTGTTTTGTTTGTTAGTTGAGTGTCTTGAGTCCTACATGGAATAAGAAGGGAACTCCTTTTGGGTTTATCTATTGTTTTGTGCATTTAGTTTATGTCTTATGGGGCTTGTGGAGAGAATGCACCTGGACCAATGCATGCACGCACAAATCAGGTCAAGGCAAGCCGGGTTGTGCTCACATGCGTGCACCTGCTATGTTGTGTGATGTCGTGCTCTATAGTGCACGTGGGTTCAGGCTCTTATTTCTTCTTAATTTTATTTGCTTTTTAAGGTGCTTAACTTTTAAATTTTTTAGCCCACTTTCTAATGTTCCTTTTGTAACCACCATGCTCTCCTAATCGTAGTAGAACTCTCAAGTTTAGTCAAGATGTTTTGTTTTTGGAAAGGCTTTTCAGTTGCCAAGGCAATTGAAACTCTGCATCTTGCACATATTGCTTCTTTTCTTTGAGTTTTGCTCTCTCCTACATTGGTTTTCTCACTGTTGAAATGTATTCGACATACATAACATACTTATTCGCTGCTTTAGACAATGAGTGCACACAATTTCAAGGCTGAGAGTTTTTGTATCCTAGAGACCAAATGCTAAAATGGGTCCATTGACTGCAAACACTAGCATAGCATTGAGACTATTCTTTCTCTTTATTCATCTATTGGGATAATGCAGTTCAAATTGTGGTCTATCTAATTAGTAGAATGTGAACACCCATTTTAAAAAACTCTCCCCTTATGAGAAATTGTTTCACTCTACAACTATCGTTTTCTTAAAACTTTTGGTTGCCTCTGTTATCCTTTGTGTCCTTACAACAAGCATAAATTTGATAATTTTCGTTCTCTCCGTTGTGTGGTGTCTCAGCTATCGTGAAATTTTTATGGACTGTTCCATATTGCCAGCCTACGTCCTTCTGACCTACTTCCTCCATGACTCCATGTGTTGACATGTCCCTCACTAGCTGATCACAAATATGATCTTTAGGCTGTGTTTGGTTGCAGTGCAAATCTATTTATACTGGATGCAAAATTATGCTAACACATGATTTGAGTGTCTTTTTTGTTTCAAATTTCATCTTAACTTGAACTCCTCTCTCTCTCTCTCTCTCTCTCTCTCTCTCTCTCTCTCTCTCTCTCTCTCTCTCTCTATCTATCTATCTATCTATCTCCGTTGGTTCTCTTTTATTCCCACTCTCTGGCCATAGTGGATGGATGTTGGTACTTTAACACACATTCTACTACTACATGTCTATTTGATTTTTTTACTCTCACAATATTTGCATCGTAAAAGGACAGCCATGCCATGCAAATGATTCCTCAGAAGCTGAACTCTGGGCAATCATCCAAGGTTTAAGAAGCCTAACTCTTTTGGGAATCCTGAAAGCCACTGTTATATCTGATGCAAATTAAGTAAGTCTTGATGAAGATAAAAGGAACCGATGAAAACATTAGATGGAATGAACAAACTCTAATGGACCATGGCAACTTTCTTCTTACTCTTTTATAATATGAATCTGTTAATATGTAAATGTAAAGGATGTAGCTGTCGCTCATGTTGCTCATAGTTTAGTTAAAAAAGCTAATGTAAATAGAACTAAATCTTTTTGTACCAACTTACCCCTCCAATGGCCCAATCCAATACAAATTCAATGAAAACTATAAAAGAAACTACAGAAAATATATTAGAAACTTCACAAAAAAAAAAACATAACATACAATACAAAAACTAAAAGAAAACATAAAAATAAAAATAAAAACCATAAAAACTAACAAATAGGGGTGTCAATGAACCAGTTTTTGGGTTGGACTCCGTCCAAATCAAAATCAATTTGGATGGATTAGACAAACCAATTTGATATATTGAATTAGACCAGCCCAAGTTTAATGGTCTAAAGTATTTATTGAATTGGATTGGGTCTGATCCATCCATAATGGATTAATATTGGATTGGGTCAAATTGAACCAATACTCAATCTACTAATAGAAGAAAAAAAATACAGGTTTCAATGGACCAAGTTTGGGTTGGAACTGATCTAAATTAAAATCAATTTGAATAGATTAGACAGTTCAGACATTAAATTGGACCAAAACAAAATGACTTATATTGGATTGGACCAAATCCGGTCCAATTGACACTACTGACAAATAATAGATATTATAGAGAAAGAGAGATCTAAAGCGGATGAAAAAATAAACATTCAAATTGGAGTGAATTCAAAATCAGTGTTGAGCTGTCAACTGTAGGATCGGAATCAGAGTTGATGCATCAAGCATGTTGAGATGCAGGACAATCCTGGTGTCAGGTGGATGGATTCCAATATAACGGTTGACTGTGCTTTATTCCTTAACTTTTATATTTAATTAAATGAAGTAAAGAAGTTGGTATTGAGAGAGATGGAAGATTGGAATGGAAAAAATCGGAGGGGGAGAATCGAGATTATGAATGGACAACTGGGATTTGGACGGACCATTGAACATATGAATTATGTGATATGTCCACTCCAATCCGAAATAAACATTCGACATTTGATTCTGGACTGGTCCATCCACCCCGTACAAGTGGGATTTGAATTGGATGGGGTCCAATCCCAACTTGGTCCATTGACACCCTTTAACCGTAGGGGTGCCTTCATACGGTGGCCCCTTGGTAAATGATCATCAGATCAACCTCTCACTCCATCATCCACTTCCACTATGGACACATCTACTCCATCTTCTTCTAAAACACTTATGGATGCCCACTCCTCTCCCTTTATGGAAACTGCCACTTCTATTACTACAGAATTTGGTTCACCGACTCCCAAAATGCCTTCCACAGTTCCACTGATTCCATCTTGGCAATCTATTGAGAACCAGCCCATGTTGACTAGGCTGGTTCTCTGTAGATTGCCAAGAATCACTCTAATGGCTACTTGTTCACATGATGATATTAAAGCCATGTGCAGTACAAGATCAAGGTTCAAAAAATTGTTTTCCCAATACACCCCTACAGGGGTTGTATCGGGTCAGGGCCTCCATCAGAAAAAAAATAAATGTGGAACTAAAAAAAGGGGCAGCTACTGGCCGATACGCCCGATACTTTGAACCTTGCACAAGATATCCTGTTCCTCTAGTTCTGTTGCATAATGTGGATTTTATTGAGACTACATGCTTCACAACTATCAACAAGGATCCCAATCCCAAATGGCGAGAGGCAATACTAGCAAAAAGAAAATTACAAAATAGCAGAGATTCAAAACATTCAAGGCAAAAATAAATGACATATTTCTAACTTACAATACCTTTTTCTTCAATTGTACATCATTTAGTTTAACATACCAGTTACAATAAATAAATTGGATTTTCTAACTATCCATCAACAATATCGCCCAACCCACCCAAATAGACTTGATACGCTTAAATCACCACAACCAGCACTGAGGTTTCCAACCAGTGCTGTCCTCCCAAGTCAAATGAGACCTGCCTGAAAAGAAAATCTGGAGAACTATTGGATTTTTCCGTTTTATTATGTTTCATGAAACATTTCATCTTCACTTGGTAGCGACTGCTTGATGTATGTGGGGCTTGCTAGTCCGCTTCCTTCTGTCATCATCGACCGAACTGCCTGCACAACGATATCTTTTTTTCATGTTATCCCTGAATAAGATGGTAAAGACAACAAGTATACACTTTCAAACAAGGGAGCGGCTTGGATCTGCGGAAACAGGGAAGTATTCTCTGATACACAATAACTTGCCACCTGTTGTAGGGGCAACTCAAGTACACCAGGAATCAGTAGAAAGACAGTTGCAACTCAAAAGCCATCTAAGATTCATGAGCTATATCTAAATAAGATTGAAGTTTTGACCACATCCAGATCTAAACAGTAAAAGCAAGAAAGACACAGCTGTGTAATGCTTCAAACTGAATTTAGTCCCAGCTAAATTCAGTTTGAAGCTTTAAGTCTCAACTGGCCATGCAAGAATGACCATCTTTTCTTTATCTTGGTTTAAAAGGATAGGGATGTAAGTACCTCTCAATCTTTCCATATTTGTTTATACAGATTACAGATAAAATTGGATTAGTGGCAGATCAAATCCAGTAGGCTAATTAAGTGATTAACCTCTCCTTTGTCAATATAATTGAATCTGCTCAGATGTTACTTAAATTAAAAGAAATAAAATCTGCACCTTCTCTATTTCATTGCTAATGAGAGGGGTCTCTCTCAAGAATTGTAGAGCTCTGTCTCTACCCTGTCCCAACCTGCTCAAATATTTAAAAACATGAGACCCAATAACCAGCAAGATCATAAAACCATGCATTGAAACATCTAAAAGCAAGTCTTTACTTTCTATCATTTCCATGTGTGTGAGAAACAGAGTAATGGTCCGTGATACAGAAAAAACATAACAGAAATTCCCAGTATTCAGCATCTTCCAAGTGGTCAAGAAAATTTAAGTTACTATAGAGATCGTATTGCAAATTAGAAATTTTGTGCTTGATCCATCCAGTGCATACATCTGGATGTTTCTTTACAGATTTTGTGAATAATTTTGAGAGGAAACTGTTAGTAGGTTAAACATGAAAAAATCTTGCTGAAATTATGCAGGTTACCCAGTAAAGCATAAAAATATTGCCCCAAATGCCTAAACCTTGACAAAACATTGCCTAGGTGTTTTTTGCACTTCAACATGGTGCTTCCAAAAGGGACAACACATATCAAAAACCAAAAGAGGCATTCCTAAGAGATAAGGCATAAAATTACATGTTATTTCCATATAAGGAATACCATCAAAGTGTTATTGAAGGATGCACTTGGATACATTAGGGAAACTCGTACAAATCCCACAACTACATTAATAACATTAAATTTAAGGTTGAAATAACCATGAATAAGATCTACGTAAGAAATGCATACTTTAGTTGTACATATGAAGAAATACATAACAATCAATAATTCAATATACCAATATATGGATATATCATACATCTTCATTAATAATGCATCAATCAAGAGTCCAAGACACATATTGCATTGATTCTTACAAATTATTACATGCCTGAAGCCATTATTTAAGTTCAATTATCAATTAAGAAAATTACAAAAATATATAATTAACTTAAGACGTATATTAAATTCATAAGAATGTGGAAGATCCAAAACATAAATCATGTGCAACTATTACATTTAATTACTAAATCAATTGTTTTCTATTTTATTAATTTTTATATTAATAAAAAAGTAAACTTAATCTTAAATTCTCAAATGTTTTCTAAATAATATTTTTATTTTTCCAGATAATAAATATGTTCTTATTTAATGTAAACTAAAATATCAGTTAATAATTTATAAAAATATATAATCTTAATTAAAAAATATCAGATCTATTAGAATTTCTATGATACATATCATATGCGAATTCATAAATTTTAATTACTAAAATAATTATTCTATTATTAGTATTTTTATTTCTATAAATTTTCCAAAAATAAAAATAATTACTTGATATATTCATATAAAATATTACTATTTAGATCACATGTGCCCCCAAGTCAAATGAAACTATGTTATTTTACTCATTAGCATGACATGGGAAGATGGACTAGTGTATGATCATACTTCTGATTCAGGTGACCTAGGTTCAAATCTTACTAACTGAAAGTTGAAATTTTTATTCTGTATTTAATAAGGAGAAATAAATGGCAAGACTTGAAAATCTATAATTAATGGGTGTTAATGGTGGTAATTAAGGGGTCTAATTTGAAATTTGACATGTAAGAAGACCATAATTAATGGGGCTAATGGCGATAATAAATAGACTGGAAATGAGTAAAACACAACTAATGGCACAATTAATGAGGCATGATTTGAATTTCACAAAAAAAAAAAAAGAAAAACAAATGGTTTGTATCGGCCCATATTGGTTTGTTCCAGCCAATACAAACTTATACAAGGCCAATACAACTGATATTTTGTGGCACAAGTGGAATAACTGGCACCATCTCGATTCCACCTGTTTTGCATATCATATCAAGTGTCCAGGATACTGATATAACATGTCCATATTGAAAACGTTGGTTGCACTGATACCTATTTTAAATTTTTAAGTGAGCAGTATTGATTGGACTGATATTTAAAAGAGGATATATTGAATGGTTAACATCAAGGAGCAAACATGCATATCAAGTAAGAGAAACCTTTCACCCTTGTAGAATGTAATGCTGTAATAGATGATTGGTTAGCTTATAAGACAAACCTATGTTCCCCATAGCTGTACCAGGAACCCTTCTTTACCACAACATCCATCATTTCAGCACAATCCAATATGCAACCCTGCAATCCAAATCAATCAGACCAGATATAGTATGGTTTGAAGTTGCAGACAGAAAAAAAAAATATTAATATTTCTTGATAACGAAACTGACCAGTTTATTTACACCTTCTCCAAATATGATGTCAAACTCTGCTTGCTTGTAGGGCCTTGACACCTATACAATTAGCTAGTAAGAAACAGATCTTAACATTTATTTTTGATAGGTATTGGTAAATTTATTGAATATGAACAAAAAAAATTGAGTATGCTGAGGTGTATGTAAAGGAACAATAGGTAATTTATGTGTATTTATACATGCCCAGTTATCACCATATGGTAAAAGTGGTAGAAGGGTGTACGCCTCCAATATATTTCATCTAATAAAATAAGTGAGAGGATAGCTTGACATTCTATTGACCTACCTACATTTCCTGTTCTCCTTTTTCTCTCTTCTCTACTCTTATTGTTCTTCAACTCTAAGGCAATAATAGCTGCTAAAAATAATCTCTACATAATCCTAGTTCGTATGATACTGTCCTGATTATAGAAAGGATTCTTCGCCACCAGTGACCTGCTCACATCAGCAGTCGTACAGGCATGTAAACTACAGATCAAGAATAGTTTACCATTCATCAGAACGTGATTTTTGAAAGATTTACATTAAGTTTCATGATCAGATGATGAAAGCTTATATATTTTTGTATTTACTGGGGTAAAAATAACAGAAAATCAGTTCTGGATTTGCTAAACCCTATATTTTAGACTACGAACTATTTCGGTATGAGATTACAGGATTTTTTTTTTATTGGAAACGGTAACTTCAATAAATAACTTTAAAATAACTTTCCAGATTTAAGTACAGCTGTCAACCCCTAAGTAGGTGTTGAAACCCAGTTATCTTTTTTACAAAACTGCCCAGAACATACTCTCCCTCACAGTCCCTTGTTTAGCCAACGTGTCAGCTAAACCCTTAGCTGATCTCCTTGTCCATTTGAAGCATGCACCGATCTCCCTTGTTGTATTGTGGATTTCCCTTATGGGCTGTCTATAAATCCAGGCTCCCAACTTACCATATTGCAGCCACTCAATCAACAATTTAGAGTCTCCCTCAATCTCAATTTGGTGTAACCCCAACTGTTTTGCATATCTTACACCTTGAAGCAAGGCCATCACCTCCGCTCTCAATGAGCCCCCCACTCCTATTGGTCTTGAAAACAAAGCCACAATTCTGCCATTTTCGTCTCTGAAAACTCCTATACCTGAAGGGCCCGGGTTACCTCTTGAACTCCCATCAAAATTCAATTTCACTCTTTAATGTGTTGGTGGGGACCACAATTCCTGCACAATAGGTTTCATGGAAGTTGTAGAAGCCACCACTTCCCAATTCCTGTAAATGTCCTCAGCTGAGAAGTCTTAAAACAAATCCAAAATTTTCAACCAATGAATAGTCATAATAATTATCCTTTCTACAATTGCCTCGCACTTCTCCACGCCTTTAAAGATTCTATTATTCTTTTCTTCCCAAACTGACCATAAGATAGCTACTCTTGTGGCTCTCCACATTAATCTTCCACACCTCTTTGGTTGCCTGAAAAAGCTTGGGTCAAAAAGGCTTGCCACATCTGGGGGAGGTGTCCACCTACAACCAAAGATAGAAGAGAACCAAGTCCAAATAAAGCATACAAGCCAGATCCCAAGCAGAGGCTACAAACATGGGGTGATAGACAAACATTTGGCCTTTTTCTTTGCAACAAATCTAGAGTATTGATTTTTTGGATAACCACCTCCCAACAAAAAGCTAGAACTTTTAGGGGTACAAGCTGACACCAAATATCCTTTGAAGGAAAGCTCCGTTCAGGGTTTGATGATTGAATGAGGATATCAAAAAAGGAAGAGCAAGTGAACACACCAGAAGGGGAAGGTTTCCAAAGAGATTGTCCACACAAGATTGATCCAGGTAAGTTGACCCTAGAAGTTTAATTAATTCATCCATCATTGTCATTTCCGACTCCCTTAGACCTCTCCTCAAACCCAAGTCCCAAGAGTTATCAGTAAAGACTGAAGAGATCACTTTTCTTTTATTTTCAGAGAGTGAATAAATAAAAGGGAACCTTTCATTAAGGGAAGTGTCTCCAACCCAAGCATCTTCCCGAAATAAGACCTTATTTCCTGCACAAGCATCAAATTTGACATAAGGAATGAAGGTAAAATACCATGAATAGCTTTCCAGGGAGAGCACTGGGAAATCCCTGGGCCGACTCCTGCATCCCAACCATTGTCGGCCAATCCATGAATGCTAATAATTACTTTATGCCAAAGTCTGTCATGTTCCAAAGGCAATCTCCACAACCATTTCCCCAATAATGTTGTATTTCTTAGCCTAAGATTTCCTATTCCTAGTCCCCCTTCATCTCTACTTCGAGAAACCACCTCCCACTTCACTAGGTGGTCTCTTTTGGTGTCTCCTGGTTCCCAAAGGAAGCCCCTCATAATCTTCTCTAGCTGGTTTGCTACTTTCACCGGTATCCTAAAGGTAGATAGGAAATACACCGGTAAGTTAGCCAACGTCAACTTTATCAGGGTTATCCTATCTCCCAAAGAAATGTAATTTCTCTTCCAATTCGCAAGTCTCTTTGTAAATCTCTCAATCACTGGGTACCAAAAACTATCCATATTAGGATTTCCTCCCAAAGGTAGTCCTAGATACTGTAATGGCCAATCTCCTATCTCACACCCCAATATTCCAGCTTATCGAATCACCTCTTCACTCCCTAAATTTACTCCTGCCACACAACTCTTGCCCCAAATGATCTTTAGGTTAGAGATCCTCTCAAATTTATGGACTATCCTTTTTAGGTTCATGAGTTCTTTAGTTTTCCCTTCACAAAACATAATAATGTCATCTGCAAATTGTAAATGTGTAACCACCACTTCATCCCTTCCAACTCTCCAGCCTCTAATCATATTGTTGGCATCTTCCCTTATGATCAACTCACTCAACACATCAGTTACCAGAGTAAATAAGAAGGGAGATAGAGGATCTCCTTGTCTTAGGCCCCTTTTGGCAGGAAAAAAATCTCTTGCTGCTTCATTTACCAGAATTGAAAAATGACATGAAGTAATGCAACCCTTCACCCATTTACACCATCTCTCTCCGAAACCCCTACGCTTAAGAATCTCCAACAAAAACTCGCAATCCACCATGTCATAGGCTTTCTCTAAATCTAGTTTGCACACCAGTCCCTTTTGTTTTTTCCTTCTTCTAACCTCTACACATTCATTGACAATAAGGATTTGATCAATTATTTGTCTTCCAAACACAAAAGCCCCTTGATTTGGAGAAATCATCGAGGGAAGAACATATTCTATTCTTAGAGCTAAAACCTTGGAAATGATTTTGTACATGCTACCTATCAGACTTATGGCCCTAAAATCCTTCGGTTGAATTGCATCCACTTTCTTTGGAATCAAAGTGATGAAGGTTGCATTTGCACCTGAGTTAAATTTGCCCCTCTCATGGAACTCATCAAACACCTCCATCAAGTCACCCCAATTATTTCCCAACAATCTTGATAGAAAGCCATCGTAAAACCATCAGGTCCTGGGGCTTTTGATCTCGCCATTGAGAAAGCTGCATTTTTGACTTCCTGAACCTCAAATTTCCTTTCCAAGGAGTCCAACAGCTCTCGGTTCCCAACCCCCCAATCCAGGTCAGGATATTGAGATCAAATGGAGAACAATACTTCACTGCAATCTATTAGGATACTGCAATTTATCAGGATGTTCATATCTAGCAAATCATCTGAAGTAATTTCAAGTGCCAACCATCTGCAGTGGTCACAATCTATCAGGATGTTCATTGGAAGGGAAAGTTTGGTTATCATAATGGAAAGTCCAAGGAACCAGATGAAGATCCTGTCCATTATATGTTGGAGTTGGAGAATCTTATGAATATGTCCCTATTGCTGGATTCAATGCAACCTGATATCTTTAGTTGTTTCTTTTTCTTAAAATGGACTTGGAGATTAAGCATGCAGTTTTTAGAAACCTATTTTCGGGTAAAAAAACTATACCAGGATTTATTAGCTTAGCCAGAAAACCACTCACCATCACCAGGGGGAGAGGACCTTGGCTAATTAGTTTGCATCATTGAGACGAATGTGGAAGGAACTAGATTACTATGGTTCCTATACACCTATGTGTAAGGCTGATTTTGCTACATATAAAAGCAAAGTGGAAAGAAGTTATATCTTCGAGTTCCTGGCTGATTCAAATCAAAATTTGAGATGGTGAGAATACAGATCTTAAGTAGAGAGGAACTCCCCACCTTGAACCAAGTCTATGCTCAAGTTCAAAGTGAGAAGAGTAGGGGAATCACAATGGAACATTATGAGACTCCTACTTTTGAGAAATCTGCTTTGGCTACAGTTCCACTAGAAGGATTGACAGGATAAGGGATCCAAAACTGATAAGGAGAAGACGGAATGTACCTACAGTGGTAAGGATTGACATGACAGGGATCACTATTGGAAATTACATGACCATCCTCCTGGATTCAACAAAAAGGGAAAGAATTATTCTGCCAACAAGTCTACAACATATTCCTCTTCTCAGTCTTCATCTAGTTTGCCATCATCCTCATCTCATTTCAAGGTGTATCCCATGAAACATCTATTGGGAGTTCTAAGAGGCTGGTTACTATTCCAGTATTCCCAAAGAAGAATTAGAGACGCTTCACCAAAAGGCATCTCAAATGGAGAGTGTTACAACCTGAGAATAAAGGGAGAAACAAGGAGAAAAAGAAGGGAAAAAGGTAGAGAAAGCTGTCTTGTACAGTAGAGAACAAGAAGAAAGTGAAATGAGAAAGAAAAAGGGTCTAAAGGAAGAAGATAAGAACCATTCTCTTCTCCTTGTCGACCTGCACTGTTATTCACTTCTTTAAAATATGCAAAAGTACAAAAATGCCCTATCAAGTGATTCTTAACAAGGGAAAATACAATGCCATGTCAAGTGACTAAAATGCCCCTTACAGGCATACATTTCAACACTCCCCCTCAAGCTGGAGCATATATATCATAGAGATCCAGCTTGTTACAAATATTATCCATCCTAGTACGGCACAAGCTCTTGGTAAACAAATCTGCCAGCTAATTTTCTGAGTTGATATAAGGAGTA